TCAGGAGCTTGAAAAAGCTGTGTACATAACTGGGTAGATCCGCCGGGAGGACCGTCTCTGGGATGCCCCTCAGCCTAATATTGCTCCTTCTAGATCGATCCTCTAGGTCCATGAGTTTTGCTTCGCATTTCTGGATCTGGTCTGTGAGGGATTTTAAGTGCTCTGCGGACGCATTGTGCGCGTCGACTAAATCTTCCATCTTGGCCTCCACGTGCGTTGTGCGAGATCCGACATCTTGGAGATCCCGTTTGAGTTCTGCCACGCTGGATTGCCAGGTAGCGACCAGCCTTCGTGACTGTTCGTCTAGGGCTCTCTTTAGGAAGGCAGCCGTGAGCGGTTCTCCATCATGCTGTGATTCCGCCTCTGATCTTGGGCTGCTCCCCCCTGAGTGGTCGGCGCCATCTTGATGGCCTGCTGTGTCTGTTCGTTTTGCCAGAGCTGCTCCTTTGTTCTGAGCGAAGAAGCTCATTTTGTCGGGTTTGTCTTGATGCCGTCGGGTTTTGGGTTGCGACATCTTCGGAGCATAAGTTGTTTTCCCGCAGGATTCTCACTTTAGAAAGCTATTGCCTTGCTCGTGGTGCGGAGCTAAGAGCTCATGCGGCCATCTCTCTCCATGCCTAGCCACGCCCCATAAGTGTGACTTTTAAGACACTGTCTTACTTTTAGTCCTGACTGGTGTGATTTTCGAAGGTTTGGATTTGTTCGCCTCCCCATTGACCAGTTGATCCACCATTAGCATTGCATTCTTTCCCTGACCTTTCATGCCGCCAACTACACAGTAAGTTTCCTCGCCCATAAAGAAACACTTATGAAGAAGACAAAGGTACAGGATTACAACATTCTGTCCCTTGTGTTATGAGCTACCGGGAATCTGTGCCTTCTAACTATCTCCTTGTGACCTTAATAATTTCCTCTTCACCTTTCTTTCCTTCCGTACAAGTCATCTATCTGGCATGTATGGCACTTTCTACAGTTCAAAGAGTGTGAGTTGCTTAGTTGGCCATTATCTGCAATTTCACATATGCGGTTGAAAATGCAAAGCTGTCTCCAAAGGTTAATTTATTTTTCTGAACTCGTGTCGAACTGGCCCTACAGGTTATCATCAGCATGTTTGCCGCACCTCTTCTAACAAGTCCAGCAATGAGTGCAAGGAAAACAAACACAGTCCAAACCAATATGCGTATTGCTGAATTGAATGTCTGACATCCTGTGACTACCCAAGCCCACAGGCAGGCATTACGATCACACTAATGCCAATTAGAATGACCAGTAAGAAGGGGGGCAGAGCTAACTCACAACTGGAGCGGTCGCTTGCCTGCAGAGCTCAGTCGGACGAGTGAATAAACCTATTCACCTGGGACTTTTACGACCCACAAACTGTACCATCAGGAGTTGCCTACTGGAAGATGGGGGGAAAAAACATAAAGCAGAGACCAGACCGTTCCGTGTTTTCTGTCGACATTGGAGAGCTGTTTTGGAGACTGCATGCCGTGACTGGGCCAAACATGGTGGCCGATCTAGATGATTTCTGCGATGCCTCGGAGGAATTTCCCCTGCACAACACAGAGGACCTCCACTATCAGGGACCTCCTAAACCTCCTGTGGCTGAAGGTACACCGCTCCCTGTAACCACGGAGATCCTAACAAGTCTCCTGGCTGACCTCCGTAGAAGCCTCTCAGCCGATATCTCTCAAGTGAGAAAGGATGTCGGGCTTCACGTTGAAACTAACAACATTGGAACAAACTACTGTGGCACATACTGCACGTACAGGGAGTGCAGAATTATTAGGCAAGTTGTATTTTTGAGGATTAATTTTATTATTGAACAACAACCATGTTCTCAATGAACCCAAAAAACTCATTAATATCAAAGCTGAATATTTTTGGAAGTAGTTTTTAGTTTGTTTTTAGTTATAGCTATGTTAGGGGGATATCTGTGTGTGCAGGTGACTATTACTGTGCATAATTATTAGGCAACTTAACAAAAAACAAATATATACCCATTTCAATTATTTATTATTACCAGTGAAACCAATATAACATCTCAACATTCACAAATATACATTTCTGACATTCAAAAACAAAACAAAAACAAATCAGTGACCAATATAGCCACCTTTCTTTGCAAGGACACTCAAAAGCCTGCCATCCATGGATTCTGTCAGTGTTTTGATCTGTTCATCATCAACATTGCGTGCAGCAGCAACCACAGCCTCCCAGACACTGTTCAGAGAGGTGTACTGTTTTCCCTCCTTGTAAATCTCACATTTGATGATGGACCACAGGTTCTCAATGGGGTTCAGATCAGGTGAACAAGGAGGCCATGTCATTAGATTTTCTTCTTTTATACCCTTTCTTGCCAGCCACGCTGTGGAGTACTTGGACGCGTGTGATGGAGCATTGTCCTGCATGAAAATCATGTTTTTCTTGAAGGATGCAGACTTCTTCCTGTACCACTGCTTGAAGAAGGTGTCTTCCAGGAACTGGCAGTAGGACTGGGAGTTGAGCTTGACTCCATCCTCAACCCGAAAAGGCCCCACAAGCTCATCTTTGATGATACCAGCCCAAACCAGTACTCCACCTCCACCTTGCTGGCGTCTGAGTCGGACTGGAGCTCTCTGCTCTTTACCAATCCAGCCACGGGCCCATCCATCTGGCCCATCAAGACTCACTCTCATTTCATCAGTCCATAAAACCTTAGAAAGATCAGTCTTGAGATATTTCTTGGCCCAGTCTTGACGTTTCAGCTTGTGTGTCTTGTTCAGTGGTGGTCGTCTTTCAGCCTTTCTTACCTTGGCCATGTCTCTGAGTATTGCACACCTTGTGCTTTTGGGCACTCCAGTGATGTTGCAGCTCTGAAATATGGCCAAACTGGTGGCAAGTGGCATCGTGGCAGCTGCACGCTTGACTTTTCTCAGTTCATGGGCAGTTATTTTGCGCCTTGGTTTTTCCACACGCTTCTTGCGACCCTGTTGACTATTTTGAATGAAACGCTTGATTGTTCGATGATCACGCTTCAGAAGCTTTGCAATTTTAAGAGTGCTGCATCCCTCTGCAAGATATCTCACTATTTTTGACTTTTCTGAGCCTGTCAAGTCCTTCTTTTGACCCATTTTGCCAAAGGAAAGGAAGTTGCCTAATAATTATGCACACCTGATATAGGGTGTTGATGTCATTAGACCACACCCCTTCTCATTACAGAGATGCACATCACCTAATATGCTTAATTGGTAGTAGGCTTTCGAGCCTATACAGCTTGGAGTAAGACAACATGCATAAAGAGGATGATGTGGTCAAACTACTCATTTGCCTAATAATTCTGCACTCCCTGTATCTCACATCTGCAGAGACAGGTGAGGGATATTACTGCTGCCCAGACCACCTTTGATAACCAACTGGCGGCCATGGAGGATAAAAGGCGGTAGAAACAGCGGAAGATCAGGGGCATAGCTAAGGGCATCACTATGGCAGAGATGCATAAGAAGGCTGTTTATGGCCTTACTGCCTCCAAAACCAGCAAAGGGCATTCAACTAAATGGCACGTTCCGCCTGCCCACTCCTCAGTTCACCAAGACCCTGACGTTGTGAGACGTACTTGTGAAATTTTTAATTGGGCAAGATAAGGCAGCCCTCTTGAACGCCACCAGAGGGAAGAGGCTGTATAAATTAGAACAGATGGAAATCACCTTCTACGCTGATATACCAGACAGCCACTAGAGGGACTTCTGGGTAGTCAGGCGACCAAAAGTCATCTAAATGACGCTTGACGTCCTCATGCTATTAAAACCATGCTTTCCTGTAGGGAACATAATGCGAGCGCGGCACTTGCCGCACATGCGCATAAGGTCTTCCCCCACTGGCTGATGTTGGCAGGGAAGGAGCATGGGAAGAGCCTGCCTGGCGCTGGATTCAGGTTAGTGACTGACAGGAGGGGGTGGGGGGGCGGTTTGTGGGAGAGTGGGGCACTGTAGTGGCAAGAAAATGGCCTTGTTATCCATTAAACTCAAGATTCTGAATTCTTTGTAGAACTCCATTTGTAGAATACATTCTGCAAATAATGTCAAGGTGTAGGGTATGGTAAGCAAACAGGTCACATGATTAATTAGCGAGCATAAGCACTCAATTTATCTTCAAATCAAACACGGTGGTAACCCTTTAAGCATGATCACATTTTATAAACCGCCAGTCTCATTAACTGTTTATTTACAGTGTGTCTTTGTGTCAAAACTGTATTTTAATTGGTTTCACTGAAGATTTGAAAGCTTATACTGAGCGTTGAATAAAGCCTTTGCTGTCTAATACAATTTATTTTTTCTAGTTGCTATGGAGTGTTACCAAACAAATATACAGTGATTCTTTAGAACAATTCCCAGCTTTATATTCCTTAACGCTCAGCAGTTTACAGCACAACGGGCCCCTCTGACAAGGCTGAGCCATCGTTACAGAGACAAAGACCGAGCAATGTCTGTAGAGTTTTTGTTCCGGAGCAAGAAAAGTCCATCTTCATCTGTGATTATTGTAAACAATGTATGAATGTGGCCTTTGTTAGACAGAATCGCAACTTTCTCCGTGCGTAATTTTTACATTATATAAACCACAGGTCAATGTACTGTACAGCAGGAATAGTTCAGAACAGTACTTGGAACAATAGAATACATAGAGGAGAAAAGGGACGTTAAAGTATTATGCCAACCGTAAAACAGTGGTTTTGGTTAGAGTAACCCTTTCTGCGCTGGTCCGCCTCCGTCAGACTACAAAAAAGAAAATTACACTGAAACTTTAACTCCATTCTAGGCCCAGTTCTCAAAGTCTTTTTTTGGGATGAGGTCAATCTGCGAAGGATTTACTTTGGTAGTTGCAAAGCCAATGCGAGAATTTCAATGTGGGCATATCTTGGAAGAAGATGCAGCAAATTCGATGTGAACAGGTTTCATTCTTTTTTACCGGCAAAACTAATTTAATAACTTAAGCAAATCAGTCTGGGTGATGGATTAGAAAAAACTATTGGCAGACCCACTATACCAGGGTGGTCCCGCAACAGAAATCCCACCGGCTGCATCACTTAGAGCACAGGAAAAGGAAATCATATGGAACAGACTTGATCAAGATGAGTCAGTGGAAAATTAACAAGCCGAAGTATGCTATAAGTAGCTTAGTGTGTTACAGCACAGGGCAACTTGAATCCTTCAGCAATGAGAGGGAAAGACGGTAGAACAGATTTTTCAGTAAATACTGTGTCTGAGCAAATATAACTAACATCGTCCATGATTGTACCAACACCACAACAGACTGATTTTATGTTTGTTAGTTCAGCCAGTGACGTTCCCTACAGCATTTTAGAACGTTTCATACTTTAAATGTCTCTCTTTAGGAGTCATTGTTACATTTTTGGCACCCACATGTTAATCTGACAGTAATGTGTAAATATTACACAGCTCCAAAGCAAACAAAATACACAATGTAACATGCAGGCTATGTAAACATATCAAAAAAATGCTCACTGTATAATATGAG